CCCCCCCCCCATCTCTCAACCAGGAATCTGGCCAGTCATATGATGTGGAAGTCCTCTAAGAAGCTGGGTGTCGGCCTGGTCACTGTATGGCCCTCTTCTACCCTCCCGGCAACGTCACAAAACTGGGTTTCCATGACAACGTCTCGGCCAAGGTGACGCAGGAGTAGACCCTGTGGCCTGATGGATGATGAATCAGTCTCTGGTGCTTGGGATTGTGGGTTTTTGTCCCTTTTAGGTCAAAAACAATATATTTGGTGTTGCTAGTAGTTTTGCAGGTTAGTTGCCTCTGCATGGAACCTTCCGAGTTTCTATCTTTATCTGTCTTTATCAATATCTTACTTAACTTTTGACAAAAGTGTCTGCTAAATAAAATAAATGTAAATGTGATACCTGAGACGCCAGCCTACTACGTCGTGTGTTAATCGTGCCTCGTTTAAAACCCTATATTAAAATTTTGTTCTTCATTCCTTTTAGTCTCGAAATGCTTCTTTGCCGATTATTTCTTAAATCTGTTAACGTTTCGCCCCCCAGCACACTTTTCCCGCTATTCCGCCAGTTCTCCAGGGCAGCCACTGAGTGGCAGCGATGAGTAATTGTTTAATGGCCTTCTATCGGAAGAATGCGTGACTTTCCAGCGAACAGAGTACAAATGTTTTCCAATCTGACCGCAGGAGTATTTGCATCGCAATTATGATATATAGTTAAGTACACGATTTGCTTTATTATACCAAAGGGGACATGCATTTCAGAGTTATGAAATGGTTATCATTCGCTCATTTGCCTTTTTGAAAGAGATTTTGTATAAATTGTGAATAGGACTTCTTATCTGTTTGACTGTCACCATTATGAAAAAGTTCCGGGAGCTAAAATTTCAGTTAGTTTCCTGTTGTACTCGTTGACCTTCAGCTGTGATCATACATTTAATTTTCTGTACCATTACTGTTTTATTTTATGTATTTAAAAAGTCACTATGTTTATTGTGTAACTAGACCGCGGGGGATTGAGCCAGTTCTAAAGTGAAGTAGGAACAAATCAAATCAAATTAAATAAAATCAAATAAAGAAGCACTATTAATTGTGAATTTTTATTAAACTTTTGAGATTTAGCTGGTACTTTGTGGCTATGAATAGGCATTATTATTCAGATAGTTTATTAGCTAAAAAAAATATAATTTATCATCTAACAATGCATCTAAAAGTCTGGTATGAGCAGATGTATTGCTCTCTCTCTCTCTCTCTCTCTCTCTCTCTCTCTCTTTCTCTCATGTCCAGTGACTAATGCAGCAATCCTGCTGGCCATGGAGGGCTGCAACAGCTGGTAGTGACCACAGAGGCTTATGAGAAGGGGCTGCCCTTCTGTCACCCATTAACCCCTCCAGGGGCCCCGAGTGCAAGATCAGGCTGCCACATCGTTCTGATTGGTTTCCATTTTAAACGACACACACCCATTGGACAGGCCGACTGTTTGAACCAGAGGCAGCAGTATCTCGACTGTTATTCCCTCAGCATGCTGCAAAAAAAATGTCATGTGGCCCGCCGCACTGGTTCTAAACCTGTGCATGGCGGGCGGCAAAGCTCTTAAAAATCACTGTTTTTGTGAAATACTCTCAAGCAGATCTTTTTGCTTAACATTGAAATTCTTTCAGAGAAAAAAAGGCCAAGAGCCAAAATCTATATGAGCAATTTTTGGCCTGTGAGATGTAAACTATCATCCAAAACAAGACCAGAATAACTTCAGACAGTGTGATGTGGCCTTCTTCATGTTTTCATAACATGTAACAGTAAACCGAGGTGCAGAATTTGCTCTTGAGTACGCTATTAGGAAATATAACTACTTCATCTGAGACTGGGTGTATTTTTCAGTGGTGTACTTTATACCCAACCCCCAAAAAAGTCAGCTGTGGATATGGAGAGCAGGGTTATAAAGGGACAAGCCCAGAGGGATTAGTATCCATCCTGTCCTCCATGCATGGGCCAGGACAGTTGGGGATTTGTCTCATCAAGCCAAAAATCAATACACAATTCAGAAATTAGTGCCAGACGTGCTTCTGAAATGTCATTTGCATCTGTGCCTTTCGGTAGCTGCTCATCAATCTGGCCTCCAGCTAAGACTGCACTCTATCCCTGCCCCCCCACCTCCGCATCGCCACATAACCTTAGAAAATACAACCCTGGGCCCTTTCCCAGCCATTCTTAGTGGGGGTTGGGGGGGGGGTACTCCACTGGCTTACTTTCCGCCCCTGTGTGTCTAAATTTGGAGGTGTCACTCGTATCAGTCGCTGCTTCTCTGTGACACTCAGGCAGATAGAAACATGAGTTTCTGATAGTCCCGACAAACTGGCTCCATTTTACTGCTAACAATGATTTTTACTGTTTTTATTTAATGTTGGTGTGACTGTGTGTGTGATTGGTATGTGTGCCCTCTGATGGGTTGGCACCCCTCCTGGATTAGCCCCTGCCTTGCAGCCACAGCCTGCAGAGGACAAGCAGGTATAGAACATGGAAGGATGATTTAACCTTTCTAAAGAAAGAACTTTGCCACTGTTTTATATTATATAACTATTATCATGTATCAATTAATTAAAAAGAAGCATGACTGTCTTTGCCGAGATACATGATCTGTTAAACATCCTCATGTTAATTTCATGTCCAGGCTGAGAATGACATTAGTTTTAATGGTGCAATAATATCAGGTATGTAACATGATGACATCGGCTAAATTAGGGCATTGTGCACTGAAATATACCCGCCAGCCACACCCCCCCCATCTCCCCCTCAATTTAATTATGCCCCTGATCAGTGTCCAGCTGATGTTGCCTCTGTCACACACTTGTACCCCCTCCCCCAACTCTCCTGGGCTCAGCTTTTGAAAGAGTATGTTTTTCCCATCTGCCGCCGTGTCAGGCTGCTTCACACACAGATCCCGACCCATCAGCACTGATCCCCCATCCATGGGGACAGCCAGCATGGGGGATGGATACAGTGATGAGATGTGATGAGGCAAACAGTGTGGATTATGGGTAATGTAGGCAGTCGTGAAATGCTGGTGAAGTCATATTTTAACAGGTACTTAACCCAGTGCCTACAGCAAGAACATCCAGAGGAATAAATGGCTAAAATTATAAATCACATTAGATTAAAATGGCCAAGCAATAAAATAGTAATTGAGGTATTGCTGGTGCTGGAGGCCTCTGTCTACTATCCAGCCACACTGTCCCATTGTCCCTCGAAACATTAATGAGGAAACGCTACACCCCCCTCCCCCCCCCCAATTCAGAATTCCTGTAAGAGACAAAGGAAGGAAGGCATCTCCCTGGAGATCAAATGAAACTGGGGGAGGGACATTCTGGATACAGAGGAACATTCTGTGTGCTTAAAACTCTCCAGTGCAGTTTCCATTCCCTTTACAGTGCAGTAGTGAAATTCCCTTCTTGTTCAACCTTCACCGGAAAACAAACAGGCAAAAAAGCCACAAGATCAGGCAGCACAAGTGTGTGTGAACCATTAGAAGATGGGAATCCCCATGTAATTCCAGATACCGTGTCGCTCTGAGAGGCGCGATCTGTGTCTCACTGAGAGCTGGCTGTTGTGTCTGTGGCTGCGTGTGTGTGCCTTTCCTTTTACACGATGAAATCGGAGATCATCTCGAAGGCACATGCAAATTCCCTTTGTCAGTCCGTGCTTTCCGTGCTTGGAGTTTCCGTGCAGTTAGCATTTCCATTAAAACTTCATATAATGAGACTCTGGTCCACCAGATGGTGTGAAATGGGTGGGGGGGGGGGCAGTGAAGTGGCAGGTGGCACATGGAAATGATGGTGACCAGGCCAGTGCATGTCACTCAGTGCTGGAATTTGTCAGTGACAAGCGTATGGTTACTTGTCATATTCATGCTTGTAACATTGCAGGGAGCTCAGTCAGCCGCAGAAGCAGTTAGCATCATGGTCGCTACACTATGCCTGATACTTCAGAAACATCCCTATTTCCACATTTGCAAACTTTCTCGATATTACTTTCCAGCTGCCACAGTGAGATATCCATGATATGCAGAAACATGTCAGGGAGTATTGGACCCAGAACAATAGATGAGGTGATTTCAGATTTCCGGGTTTCATAGCGTGAGCACTATGTCCTGTACTTGAAGAATGATGTACTTACATAAAATAAACTTCTGTCATATAATTAATAATTAATTTTACAAAGGACGTCTAGCCTGTCACATGCAATTAGTGCTGGTAATCATGGGAGACCAAACATGGTGATTTCCATCCACCATCAGGGCACCTGCTCCTTCATTACTATAATTACCACTGTAAAAGGCACTATATTTAAAAAGAAAATAATATTTTAAATCATATTTTTAAAAACAACATGTTTGTAAATTCAGTGTGAAGTGGGAGCCATATTTCAGGGATGAACGCATTACCGTGGTCTCTCCTGCCTGCTGCTACCCAGGTAACAAAATGACGTCCTTTCAACGTCATCTGAACGTCGACAAATGTTGTGAAAACATTTTTTATTGACGTCATGTGGACGTTATTTTGTAGGGTCCTCGGTACAGGAAAGACGACGTCATTTCCGACGTCCTCACCACATCTTCATGACGTCCTTTCAACGTCCTCTGAACTTTGACAAACGTCGTGAAAACGTTGTTTATTGACGTCATGTGGACGTTATTTTGCAGGGTCCTCGGGACAGGACAGACAACGTTATTTCCGAAGTCCTCACCACATCGTCACAACGTTAACATTTTTATATAGGTTTGTTTATATATATATAAAACAAACCATTATATATGCAATATATAATTCTAAATAATTATATTATAATATATATTTAAATCCCGTGACCCAGATGGATAAATCAGTATGGATAATGGATGGATGGATATGTATTTAAAAATAAATAATGCATTTATTCCATATTCCAGTCATCTCATTTTATTAACATCAAAAACATTAATAACATTATAATGTTGTTATTAAATGTTAAAATCAACATTAACAACCAAATTAATCCGCTTCAGGTCCCTGCTCCATTTCCCCTGTATCTCTCACTGCAGCATCATCCTAGGAGAACACAGAAGAAATAGTTACAGAACACCATACAGTAGTTTACCTCTAAAACTGAATACATTCGTTAGATAACCTTGTATGGTATGAGTGGGATAGGTGTTATGAACCATGCATGTACTGTAAGAACACACCTATGTCTTAATGACATTTACAGTATGTAACTATTCAGTGTTAAGATAATCATTTACATTTACAGCATTTAGCAGATGCTCTTATCCAGAGCGACTTCCATTTTCTAAATTCAGGGACAGTCTCCCTGAGGCAAGCTGGAGTTAAGCCTCATGCTCAGGGACCCAATGACAGTAGTGCCAGACGTGGTACTCGAACCCACACACACACACACACACACACACACACACACACACACACACGTCACCTGATGTAAATATGTAAGATCTATTTCCTGTTTTGTCTGATCATAAGTATACTTCAGTTTTGCTTAAAACATGTCATGTCAAAGTTATCTCATTTGATTGCATGACTCATGTCTACAGGGTCTTTATATGTCTGTTTTTTAGGTCTTTATTATTATTTATTATTTCTAGGGTTATATATACTTACATAAAATCACATTGTATAGCTCCAACACCTCAAAGGATCTTTTCCCTTTCCTCCCCTTCAAACTGTACTCTCCCCACAAGGCACTGGTCCCTATTTTCCTTTATTCCTCAAATAATTATACTGTGTATACTATGTAATTAAACACTTACATTCGGGGGGAGCAGGCAGTGCAGCTCCATGCTCTTTCTCTGTGACAGTATCATCATATAAATAGAATTATATAAACGTGATTCATTTTCAATATGAAATTTTTAAAAATACAATTCTAGTACCTTGTGAACTTCCCCTGTCCAAAGAAGAACTCATAGTACCTAGTGGGATATCCGCAAGATAAAGTTTCACTAATTAGGAAATAACAGCCTTATGCTCTTCAATGAAAACTTTGCAGTGACTTTTGAATTTCTTTTGACAAGCTAATAAGAGTTATGCAGGGTTTGTTACACTTGGTTTTCTTTGTATCTGTCCTTTTTTCATGTCTTACCCCATTTACTTTTTCCAGCCAAGACGATGGTATTACATCAACCGAATTTTCCCTCAGAAAGTGAACAACTGCAAAACGCTGATCAACCTAAAATTAAAAAATAAAATGCATCTAACAACTTTTCAGTGATAGAATTGTTTGTTAAAAGCAATTAAAGCACATTTACCAAGAATCAGAGATTATGTAGAATGCAAGCACAAATCTAGATCCATGATTCTCTTCAATAATGATTGTCCTCTGTTCCAAGCAATCTTCAGATACAATTTTCATTCGTGTGTTTCTCACATGCCCTCTGTACACTCCAATCAAACGAGAGTCACAAGGGCTGAGAAATAACGGCTCGACCTGTTCATAGACTCTATACTGGAGCATTCTTCCACTGTTCTTCCTCTCAGAAACAACTGAAACCACTTCACAACAAGATGTTTCTTTTAGCATGAATGTGTTGTTGGGATACTTTAGACCAACTGCATCTTCATTAGTTTGTCTGCTTTTGGTTTGAATTAAAACTCTGCTCTCCTCAATTCTTTTCATGACTTGAGTAAGAGGACGTCTTCCAGAGCTAATTAGTTTTTTAAGCTCCTGTAGATAGTTCTCAAAACGAAAGGCACTGCGACTATCCAAACATCCAAATTCTTTTGCATCT